ATTTTTTCCCCTATACAATTTAAAAAAAAAAAGGTGAATTAAATTGATAATACCCTGTAGAAATAATCAATTTTACCACTCTTGACAGGGACATTTTTCATTATTGAAGCTATATGTTTCTACATCTATTATTTTTATTTCTAATTGCATAGACTTTCCTCCCAGCTCTGAAATCATAAAAATAGACAGTGCTTCACATTGATAGCAAATTTTCCCATCAAACTAACAATAAATTAAATCATTGATGTATGATATAAATTTTATAAAAAAATGATCATAAAACAGACTTTGCTTTATAAATACATGTGTAATGGTTGATATCAAAAGCTTAGGAACTACAGAGAGTATTTTTCTAGCAAGTTGATGTCATCCTCATCCTTGACATTAAATACAACACACATATATATATAATTCACTAACAACACATTTTTCATAGAGTCAAAGTACTATATATTTCATGGTTGATCTATTTGATTATTGTTTTGACAACACTTATACTAGCTAGAATTTCAAAGTAATTGATTTTGGAACTGAAACAATGACAAACTATAAATCACATTATTCTATCTTGTTGAGAGTAAACGTTTTCTCAATTTCCAATTCAGGACTAGACAACTGATGACTTCAGAACTGGGACATTTTGCAATATTCATGCCACTCAACTTTTCATTTGTACAGTTTATAATCAAACTGGTTCCAGAAGAAGTGTACTTGTGGCCTCCTTATTAAAGCCACTCAAAACCAAATTTCCTCCAGAGAAGGGACGGCCTTCATTTCTCCACGCTCAAGATTTTTTTACCTTCAAAAGAAGGTACATAGAAGATTGGGATGACAAGAACATAGACGAGAGCAGTTTGCTCAAAGAAGCCATGGAAAATGGTTGAGAGAAAATATAGGCAAATGTTTTCAGATAAGATAAATGGTTGAGTAGTAAGGTCTAGGGTTTCTGGTTTAAGAATTTCAAGCACTCTAAATTTATAAGGGGAAGAGGCGCAAGGGTCAAATTATTTGCAAGTGTCCTTGAAACAATGCCTTCTGAATGTTGGGTTAGGCAGATTTGAACTAAGTTGGGGCTCTGTTCTATTACTTTCATGTATTCTTAGAGGCATTATTAGTCCTCAACTTTATTGAGCAGTGCAAGCAATATCAGAGAATTAGAAACACGTACGCATGGATAATTCAATAGTCATAATAATGGGATTAGAAACAAACTTAGGGCTACCGTTCTTTTCATGCATACAAATTTCAACATCCTATAGTGAAACTTTACACAAATTAAATGCATGTACCAATTATAACAGTACTAGAGCGTAAGTCGCATAGATGTTCTAAAGAATATAGATACCAGAAAAGTTTCAGAGGCTACGCAAATTCTTGGTTCTATTTGGAGTTGATGAGCGGCTTTAATTCATATGACATTCGATCTATTTGTGGAAAGTCATCATTAACGAAGTAGTGCTCTTGGTAGGCAATTTTGTAGATTGCGACATAATGCGTAATGGCTTCACATTGCAACACAAGAATTTAGGGGACGCCAGCAAGTCTACCGACTAAAAACTGAAGATGCTCATAGTTCTGGGAAAGTATATGGAGAACAAATAAACCTAGAGCAACGATTTGACTTAACTTGTGAGACAGAATGTAGTGCTTTATTCAACCATTTCAATCACAACTTTCTTTGCTTTGTAGAATTACGTGTTTCAATTTTCTACAAATAGTATTAGAAAGTGGGAATAAAACTATAAATTAAGCACAAAACCCACCAGAAATTATGAAACTAAGATTGACAAGGAAACTCTCCAGCAAACCATAAAATTGATCTTTAATTTCAAAGGCCTTAAGATTGACAAGTAATCCCAGTGTTATGTGATGTCGATTCATTCCTTTGAAACGTGTTGTCATAGTCAAAACAGAGCTCTACAAATCAAAGAAAATGACGAAGTTGCAGCCCCCTAACTGAAACTTTACGGGTCTTAAAGTGATCAAAATTTTATTTCCTAAGACAAAACCTCAGGGTCAAGCGTCAGTCACTGATTTAGCTAACACGCATTAGCAATACTTGGAGACCCCCCATTCCCTCCTCCTTCCCCCCCCCCCCCCCCCCCCCCCCCCCCCCTTCCTTTCTTTTTTCCCCCCCCTTCTTGCCTACATCCATGAAAAATTAACAACTCTCTCATACACGCATCTCTTAAAATTTAAGATATGACCGGATTTACTACTCCTTTACAAATCCAAAACACGCCCACCAAAATAACTAACCACGGTTTCAGGTTTTCTTATTTTTCATACTGGACTTAATTCATCCCAAAAGCTCTAAGATTTTCTTGACTTAAGTTTTGTGGTTGTGTGAAATCGTTTCTTAGGGTACCCGCCACTTCTATGTTAATAATTAATAGACCGGTAGAACTTTCCTTCCTTACCGGAACCTTTACATTTCCGATATTTCTCAATTCAATCTACAGATAGTCATGAATCATTTCATTTGACCAGATTTGTTTCCCGTTACTTATGTTTTAGAGGATAAATAAGTACCTTTCTTCCCCCCTTTAGTAAGTACGAATACTTACTCATATATCACACTCTCAGTGATATGTTAACCTATAATATCCGGGTCGAAACTTATTCAATGTTACGAAAGTATAGGCTGGGTCTACACGAGAGTATGCTGCACTGTAACGGCCCCCCGCTGGGTTCGACTCTCCGTTAATAGCATACTGGCTTTCAAATATGCCTTTAACTCTTTGGATCACTCACTAACATTACGACTAACGAATTTCTCTATCATCATTGCGAATACCAGTGGCATTAGGCTTTATGCCACGTACATATTTGTGTTGCCTTCCTGAGTGGTTGATGCATATTCATATGTATCTTGACGCCTAATTTTTTTCTTGTGCAATTCTCACCAACTCTACTCGCTTAACAATTTTCTGATTTTACAATGACGATCGGATCAACACGATAATACCCCGTGCATGATCGTTTGAGCCCCTCACGATAAATGTAAAAATGTAACTTCTTCAAAATACATGAAAGAGGTAAGGACATTATTATATATAACACTTAGAGAGTTTCATTAATCTTTGAAACGTCAAAATAGTAATTCATCGCACCCCAATTCACGAATCACGTTACTCGTTCTTTTCAACGCTGTGAAAAAATGACTGAAAATGAGTTCTATTTTTAATTCTAGTAAAAGAAGTCAATGCAAATTTACTACTGTTTACCAAAAAATACTTAAACTCACTCATCACCATCCATATAAACAATAGCAGTTTAATGTTCTAATGTTTACGCAAATGGCAGAATCTGCAAGAAGATCATGACTAATATAATTCTTAATCTGTCGGTCGGCAACCTACTAAGGAAAGTTTGAAGATAATAGTATTCAAAGAAATTTAATAAAAATAGGATGAAAATTAAAAAACAGCTCAATGCTCAGCTGTCTGTAGACATAAGACAAGGTCATGGTAATCTAGTTTGGATTATTTGGTTTGCACGTATTGCTCTTCTTCAGTCTCACAAAATAAACCCCACTTGGTCAGCCAGGCTATCTACTTCAGGGAAAAAAAAAAATTCCAATACTAAAATTAGTCAATTCTCAATTTCAGTACGTCAACCAAACATTATTTGTATCACAACAGCAGTTTGTCATTAATGTCAGATGTATTCACCCTAAATAAAAATAGTTTCCATTTTGCCGGCCGTCAATCTCAGTAGACGAGACCAAGCACTTTCCTAGGTACTAAATCTAAATAAATCAACGATATAAAGAGCCAAACAACACAAAATCTAAAACAGCTTTTTACACGTGACCTTATGTTATGGGTCTAATTTAAGGTCTCTCCAAGACATTGATATTTATATGACGCATGAAAATTTCTAGCATAAAACTTTTAATTTTGTCATCGTGTTTAAAACCACTTGGACGTTTTCTAATATTAACCCTCTGACACTCTTTGTTTGTTAATGGTAATAGAGATAAATATAGCTATGTAGAGTGCTTGCAAAGGGAAAGAAATCTCATGGATTGTAAATTCTTGTTAGTTCCACTGTTCCTTTACCACTATACTACAAATGCCTTTCTTACAAACCAAACATCAGCCAAACCCAATGCTTCATGGGAAGACAACCCAAATACAGGAGGTTATCAATTCATGATGGTACTCAACTCAGACCCATCCTTCTTAGACTTGACAAAAATGGCTACCTAAATTTCAGCCTTGGTTTCTTAAATACAAATTCGACTTCTTATGAAAACTCATATCTTGTGATAGTTAAATTCTTGGGAACCTCCAATTCATCCACCGGAAACTTTGATCTTCCACCCGTTATTATCTGGTCTGCCAATGGAAACTCTCCAGTTCAAGAGAATGCCACTCTTGAACTAGCTGTAAATTTGATATTGAGAGATGTCAATGTTGAGATTGCGGAGCCAAATTCAATCCAAATTAGAATTGGATTAGGACATGGGTTTTTCCAATTTGTGTTTAAGTAGAATTGTTTTCTTTTAGTAATACAATTGGAAATGGGATTATATTTGTATTAGGAATTAAAATATAATTCCTATTAAGATATGGGATTTGAGTCCTATTAGGATTAGTGTCTCATGTATTACCTATAAAAAGGGGTTAAGTTATAGAGTTACACATCATAAATTGAATAGAAGGCAAAGCCACAATTAGAGAGTGGGAGCTGCCAAATAGGGTTTTGTGAGTGAGCCAATTTGTGAGTGAGCCAATTTGTGAGGCTTGAGAGATTCTTGTAATATTTCTTCTTTTTCATGGTGAAATTCTACAGTAGCAAAGTTGACATAGCTCTCATATGGAGAGTGAACCATAGTAAATATTGTGTTTATGTGTGTGGTTATTTTGTGTCATTTGTTTACATTATTTTCGCTTTCAAGGATTTAGGATTTGCTATTATTCAATTAAATCCCCCCAACAGTCTATGGTCGTCAGGTTTGGTCTACCAATAACTCTAGCAAAAAGGTTTCACGGATGTATTTACATGGAAATGGAAGTTTGGAACTTATTGGTGCCAAAAGGAAATCGCTCTATAAGTCCTTTGATCACCCAACAAAGACATGGCTCCCGAAACAGCTCCTGAAGTTTAAGACAAATTTGACTTCTACCATTTCGGTATCCAATCTGTCAACAGGCAAGTTCTCCCTTCAGTTATCTTATAAGAATATTGGTTTTTACTTTAATCTTAGTTCTCCACAAAAATATCGGACTCTAGATATTCAAAATGGAGAAAAATTTTCATCCGGCATGGACCTCTTAAAATTCTCTTTCAAAAAGGAAGGCGTGCGGTACACGGCAACAAGGAACCACTCCCTGTTCTTGAGGCTGGTACCGAAAGGCCAATTCAATATCTATCGAATTACCGATGGGAAGCTGGAGATTTTTTATCTCTCCATACAAAAACTATATGGGGAGTGTATCTACCCCACATATCGTGGCAATTACGGGGTCTGCTCTCGGGATAAATGCAGTTGTCCAGGAGATTCAAGATACTTTAACAAGTTGAATGCTACCGCAAATGAGTTTTCATGTGCACAGGATGCGCCATTGTCATGCCAAAACATAACTCTTCACAAATTTTTGACGCTTGAAAATGTTTCTTACTTTGGATTTGTCTCCCAGTTTGTCGATATAGATGTAGAGAGCTGCAAAATGGCATGCCTGAATGATTGTTCCTGCAAAGCTGCCTTGTTCCAGTACAAAAGCAACCTTAACATTGGTAACTGTTCTTTACCAATGGAACTTTATTCTCTGAGGAATAATACGGGAGTGGTTTTTAATGATAATGCATTAGCATTCATCAAGGTACAAATGCAATCAATTATCATTGCAGAAACGCCCTCGAAAGAACAGAAACTGCCTCTGGTTTTATTGATGGTATTGCATGTTTCTGCTTTCCTAGTTTTATCTATTGGAGCATGCTATTGCTACAAAAGATGGAGGAAGAAAAAATTTGTGCTTCAAATGCAAAGACGAGACAACTCCAATGACTCATCTTCCCTTCATGTAACCAACATTTTGAGGAAGTTTTCCTTCGAAGATCTGCGATCTGCAATGCAAAATTTCCAGATTAGGCTTGGTCGTGGAGGGTTTGGATATGTTTTCGAAGGAGTCCTGCATAATAGTACTAAAGTTGCAGTGAAACGCTTAGGTCCTGATGTAAAGCAAGGCAAGAAAGAAATCCTGTCAGAAGTTGAGACAATAAGGCAACATTCACCATTTTAATCTGGTAAGACTTGTTTGTTATTGTGCTCAAAGATCAAATAGACTTTTGGTCTATGAGTACATGTTTAATGGTTCAATATATAAATGGATTTTCCACCGAAACCACGCACAAACTCTCACTTGGGAAACAAGAAAGAAAATCATAGTTCAGATAGCAAAGGGACTAGAGTATTTGCATGACTATTGCAATCCAAACATCATTCACTTTGACATCAAACCTCAAAACATCCTCCTGGACACAGATTTGAATGTCAAGATTTCTGATTTTGGGTTAGCTAGGTTGATTGATAAGGATCACACCCATGTGATGACTATGCCAAAGGGAACGCCGGGATACATGGCTCCTGAGTTGATAGGGGGTAGAAATATCACAGTGAAGATTGATATTTACAGTTTTGGAGTTGTGGTGTTGGAAATCATTTGTGGAAGAAAAAGTTCTAACTCCTGGCAGGGTGATTATCTAATTGATACTCTGAAGATCAAGGCAGAAGAAAATCAACTTTCTGATTTAATTGATGAACAAAGTGAGGACATGCAAAACAACAAAGAAGATGCTGTAAGGATGATCCGGATTGCCATTTCATGCTTGCAAAAAAACTTGTATAAAAGGCCTTCCGCATCGATGTTGGTGAAGGTTTTTGAGGGTTTAATGGACTTGGAAGCTGCAGCAGACTATAGCTTCTTAAATTTTATCCTTGAAGAAACACCCCCAGATATCATCCCAAGTGCTTCATCAAAAATCATACCATCAGTTTTTAACAAATTGATTATTATGCAATCAAAATAACATTGTACCTATTCTTTTCTAGAATCTTTTCTAGAATGGAACAGTGTCAAATCTAATCTTGGTACTATTCGCTAACAATTAATTTATCCATTCACCACTTCTAATTTCTACGTCTGCACAAATTAATGCCAAGCACTGGCAAAGAAGATCATCACTTAAATAGTTTTTAGTTTGTAGGCCTGCAACCCCACTAACAAAAGTCAGAAGAATGGAAATAATGCCAAAGAAAAAATAGAAAATTGGCAATCAGGAATTGAAGAATTCAAGAAAAATTAGAAAAATAAAGAAAGAATGCAAAGTTATGTCAATGTCTTATTCTTGACTATCAGTTAAGACAATAAGGTTATGGCTCATGTGGTTTGGATTATTTGCTTTGTGTGTATTACTCTTCTGTAGCCTCATTAAATGAACTCTGCTTTTACTAACTTAGTCAACCACTGCTGGAATTTGGGAGTGACAAATCAAACTTGCACGGCCCAAAAACGTGATGAACTACAGAGAGAAAACTAAACTTCTTCTTTTATTAATCTGAATGACTCAAAATACATTGAAGACTTCTCTATCTCTTTTATAGGAAGAGACCACAACTCTAATCCTAATGAAAAACTATTTCCTTATTCTACTAAAACTAAAAAAGGAAAAAATACATAAACTCAAATTTTTATTCCTAATTAAACTCAACATAAAAGGAAAATAAACAATTAAACTTAAACTTAAACTCCTAAAGTAAACTAAAACTCTAAAACTGGAAACTAAGTCCAACTCTTCACGTTTTGCGCCCTCTCTTACGCACGCCTCTCTTCTTCTTTTTTGCACTCGTTGCCGTGACCTTTTCTATTGATGCGGTGATCGCTCTTTTTGCTCCACGTTCTACGCTTTTTCCAACGCTCGCCACGGCAACTACGTGGTCTGCTTTTTTCTTCATTCTCTTCAACCATTCTTCTTCCATCTCTTCGATTGTGGCCGTCATTTCCTTCACCAATACAGGTTCATCTTTCAACAGCCATGTTATCGACTTCATGGGTAAAAATAAAGTGTAATACTAATAGAGGAAGACGATGATGCAACTTTTAAAGGTACAAAAGTGAGACTCTAATCCCCGTGTATTTGTTAGTATCATGAATGAATATAGTACTGTTTAAGTCGGATATGCTTCATACTTTACATGAGATTAACATATTATTGGCGTATGCTGACACACTCGAGGGATCGTTCGTACTTTACATGGGATTAACGGATTATCGATCGACCGTTCCGTGAACAGGAACAAGCATTCCACGTCTCAGAATGAGCGTGGGAACTGGTCGTTCGTGTTGGAACAACTTGCCTTAAAAGTCCCCGAAAATCCCAAAAGAGTGAACGAGCACAAGAAAGGGGTCGTTCCTTATGGAACGACTTGATTGATTTGAGGATTAGGCATTCCTTGTGATGGAACGGGCAATCCTACCCAAGTTGTCAAAAGCTGTCATTTTGGACAAAACAATGAACGACCTAGAGAATAGTGTCATTTATGCTAGGAACGACTTGCTTGGAGATTGGAACTGGCATTCCTCAACTTGGAACCAAGATTGACAAAAGGGGGTGGAAATGTCAGTTTTAAAAGTGCTAGGCAAGGGACCTTTGTGAAAAGATGCATATTATGTGGACTGTTTTAAAGAATGACAAATATAGAGGTTGTATTGGTCAAATGCTAATGTATTAGGGGTACAAGAGATTATACAAAAATTGAGGGGCCAAGTGATATTTGCCAGGCGCTCACTTTATATCCAGTTGAAGCTAACTATAACAAGGAAAAAGAAAGAGAAAAGAAGAAAAATAAAATAGAGGAGGAAAAGGTGTAGATCGGTCGAAAAAGCATTAAGAAAGTTAAATTTGACTTCTATTTTTTGTGGGTAAGCTTTAGAATTGGGTAATTACCCATCCTTACCTCTCTATTCTTCTACCTTAGCGTTTTAAGTTAATTTTTTTCAAAATTAGCTCAAATAAAACCCTAACTTTCATGCTAATAAAATTCTCTCTAATGTTTTAGTTAAGCATGCCTAATGTTTTAAATTTCCAAATTGTTTGATTTCTCTATAAAAATGAGGTTTATTGCATATTATTGATGAATAAATGTTTATTTACATGTGGAAGATGAACTTTGATGTTTTTGGACAAGTGTTTGACAATGATGCTGAAATGGGTTAAATTGTCAATTTGAAAACTTGTTTGGAAACCTTTATTTTTACCATTGTGTTACATGTATATTTTAATGTTACTATATATGTTTCCAACTTGAGAAATGGCATGAGTTTTGTGATAAATGATGTTTGGAGAGCATGTTTATGATGATAGTGGTTTTCAAACCACCCTACGTAGTACTCATCCCCCTCATATTCAGTTTGGCTTTGCGCATGCGTATGATTAGTTACAGTACTTTGCCCGAACGATGTGAATTTCATTGGGTATGATAGATTATGATATTCGGCTCGAGCAATGCGAATTCTGCCAGGTTTGACAGTTTTTAGTTTTTAGTGTATGAGTGATGTGAACTCTGCTAGGCAAGATGGTTTTAGTGGTTTTACCCGCACGATGATTGATCTTACTAGGTAGGATGGATTTACCCCTGGGTACTAGTTATGGTGAGAGATTTCAATATTGGTGATCAAAGGTGGTTTTAGAGTTGCAAATATGTTTATAGAAATGATATTATATAAATATAAATGTTCTATTTCATATTGAAATGATTTTAGAAAGAGTTTTTAGAAAGCACCCACTCACTGAGTATTTCCGCTCACCCCTCTTTTTCAAATGTTCCTCCCGACGCCCCCTAGGTCAAGAAAGAGATTGTGCCAAGGAGTGATTTCACTCAAGTATATACAATGACAAGTATATACAAAAAAGAAATGCAAAGATCTAGCTGATACAGTAAAGAAAATTCAAATTTGTGTTGAATACAAAATATATCATCTATTTATCGGGATGTCAATAATACCAAAAAATGAGAAAAAGAATCTGATCGAACATGAAATATCTATGGTAAAATGTATTTATGAAACAAGATGCAAAAATCAAATACATAAACCAATAATCTAATATGCCTTGACCTAAGAATTAGAAAAGTTCATTGATTAAACTTTGTGCCGTTTGGCCTTCTTTTTTTTTTTTTTTTCTTTTAGTATTATTTTTTATAATCTTTTCGTATTATTTGTTTTTATCCTATGTCTCATATTCGAATGGAACATGTTGGCTCCGTTTGATATACAATTTTTCAGTCTTCTATTCCCTATTCTATCCAAAATACACATTTATTCTCTTATTCTCAAAATATTATTCAACTTCTTTAAACCCCCTAAATTTGTTAATTTAACTAAACACCCCCAAAAAAATATTTTAGAAATTGACAAAAACACCCCAGTAACCCACATTTATCAGATTCTGGCCACCACCATCGGAAGCTGATCAGAATCTTGTATGATGGTGCACTTTTGGCTTAATCTGGCCGGTAATGCACCGATCTAGCCTTTCTGACCAAATCCATGATGGATCTAGCCGAAAAAGGTCAGATAGATCTAGTCGTCAACAGCCAGATCTTTGGCCGTAACCAGTCATCAATGACAACCGTATCTTTGGCTGTCATTGAGGACTAAATGCTTCCAGCTCTAGCCTTTTCCGGCCAGATCCAACATGGATTTGGCCGGAAAAGGCCAACTGGTCGTGTGCCGATACGGTGACTTCGGCCACCCTTCGACAGTGGTGGCCGGATGTCCGTATTTAATGGGTGGATTAGGGGTGTTTTTGTTAATTTTTAATATTTTATTATAGGGGAGTTTAGTAAATAAACAAACATAAGGGGTATTTTTGTTAATTTTCAAATCATATATTGTAATACCCACCCAATTTTACTTTTTTCAAAATATTATTCTAAAAAGTATCAGAATAATGAACCAAACGGGCCGAATTGTATTTTTGAAATGTGGTTTTTTTCAATTGAAAGTAAATAAATTATAATAAGAAAGTCATTTTAGTAATTTCCATAAATCAAAACTATTTTTAACTGGGTAGGCCCATAAATGGCCCCTTTTTTTAACTTTAAGATTCACATTTTGATGTTCTTTTATACATGTAAGTTGTTGCAACATAAATTTGTCCTCTTTGATAATCGGATTGTTCTTATTCTTTTGTGTCTTAACCTACAAATTTAAACAAAAAAAAAAAAAAAAAATAGCTTTTCCTTGCCTTTCACTGGGCTTCCTATGTCTTGAGATGGAAAGTGTTAAAGCTTCTAGATCTTGTTTTACGAGCGATCATCTTCTAGACTTTAAAATCACAAATTGTAAAATAAATAAAATAAAAGAAAATCCTGAAAAGTGAAAAGGGATGAAAGGGCAATAATATATTAAGAGAGGGACTAAACAAATTCAAAGAGAATAGTATGACTTTAATTTATTTCTCAAGTGACTTCACTTAACATGGAATACTTCACAAATGGAAACGGGCCTATTTATAGGAAACTAAACCAGCAACTCTAAAATTACCTGTCGGATAAGAATTTCAATGGCCACCACTATTAGACGTTGAGGTAAATTAAACCCATGACCTCTTGAATAATATACCCAAAAGTCTTAGTTGACCACTCAGTCACCCAATTATAGTTTACTTGCCATAAACTTGTCTTCATTGAAATTTTCCATTTGTCAAGTATTTTTCATTTGCCAGGCGGAAAGCCATATGTCATATAAAATGTGGTTAATAATTTTTCCCTTATATAATTGAAAAAAAAAAAAAAGTGATATTAAATTGATAATACCCTGTAGAAATAATCAATTTTTCCACTCTTGACAGAGACATTTTTCATTATTGAAGCTATATGTTTCTACATCTATTCATTTTTATTTCTAATTGTATAGACTTTCCTTCCAGCTCTGAAATCATAAGCACAAGACAGTGCTTCACATTGATAGCAAAATTTCCCATCAAACTAACAATAAATTAAATCATTGATGTATGATACAATAATT